CTTGTTGATAGCGCAAGGGCCGTTTAAATCAAATCGTCGGAGCCTGAACTGCTGTGTCTCTTGCCGGAAAGCACCTCCCGCGTCCAAACCAACCGTGCTACCGCTCCCGTCCCAGTAGAAACGTACCGGATCGTTGTTTGACATGGCAAGGGTAGGCCCGGTATCTGTTAAGTTCATTTTTTGGGGTCAACAAATTGGCGCCGTCTGTGGGAAACGTTTACAGTTAACCGCAGGAACACGTAAAAAGAATGCTAAGCTACGTCTCTAAAAGATTTGCCAGAAGGCTATTGCCCTTGAAAAAGGAGTGTCATTGCAAAAGGAACAGCCAAGAACTCAAAGCCTTTGAAGAAAGGGACGAAACTGCATAATAAATAATCGAAAGATGAGCTCCACTGATGAAAATGCCCCTAGAAGAACGAGGGAAGCTCTTAAAGGAGAACCCTCACACGCCGTCCCAGTATCTCGCCCAAGGCCTCCTATACGTAGAAGATGGGATGAGCGAGGCAGCGGAGTTGCAGCTATACTGGCTAGGGAAATGGCAACAATGGCTGCCAATATTTACTCAGCAGAACCTCGCCATGCAGGAAATGTTGATGAGCATGTAGGGACAGGGAGGCTACCAGACCCCCCAATACACAGCCCCAGAAGATGATCTACCCGAGGCTCAAATGTATTGCCGGGAAGAAGACAAGGTCCACAGCCAGATGGCTGGTTATCGCTACGAAGTCCCACAGGATAGAGAAGACGAGGTAGATTCATCAAATAACTACACCTCGAAAAGGCCACGGGAAGATGGACCTCAAAGGTCCGTAAGTGTTTTCGACAGGATAAGCCTAAGGCGGCCTAGAAATAAGCAAGATTATCCACCTCAGGCACCTAGCAATAGGATTGATCTTGAGGAGCCTCCAGCTCGCCCCCCTAGAAATAGTCTTGAAAGGCGAGAACAAGCCAGGAACAAGGCTGAAACCTCTCAAAAGCCCCCACAGGCCCACCTAAGGGAAGAGGATAACCCAGAAGGGCCTCAGAGGTCTTGTGACCTTGACGATGATGATGAGCACTCTCCTTTTTCGGAAGCCATAAGGAACTCTCCTATGTTGAGCCACTTCATGCTTCCTAAGATACAGAAGTACAATGGGAGAGGTGACCCCGCCAAACATATGGACAATTACAAAACTCATATGAACCTGAAAGGGGCCACCCCAACGATGAAATGCAGGGCCTTCTACTT